GTGTGTGTGAATGTGCACGTTGGTAAGGCGTAAAACGACTTACCGTCTGGTATTCCCTTCGGATAATTCTTCTGCTTTACGCAGTACAGGACATGAGGGGATAGTTTGCTTTCCGGAGAGTTTACTGGAATTAAAGGGGCTGAACTTGGCCTTGTCGTTTGCGCATGACAGCCGTTCTATTTTACTTAAGAAGCCTTTGTGACTTTTGCCATGAGTGCGCTTGAACTGTGCGAGACTCGCTTACGTAGAGGAAGCTCCACTACGGGGTGAAATGATGGAGTTTATACCCCCCAAAAGGACACCTCCAATCACTTTTATGGCTTTAGATTTTAAGCTCACTAGCAGCGGTGGCATCATCATAGTTGTGCATCTTTCACAGCCTATTGTTGTGAAGCGGACCTGTTTCCTCGTTATGCTTGCGCTCTTTAGGACGTCTTCCTTATCGGGGCATGCGACCTTATTCAAGATTGATCCTGCCGCCTTCACGAGTGTTGGTAATCTCAATCTAACCTTTACCAATCCTCCAGAGACTTGGAGCTGTGTTCTTTGCCGCATAGCGACGGCAACATAGCCGTTGACTTTGTCGTGAAGCATGGCAAATACCCCCTACACAACTTTTTCGAGCTGACCGCAATTTATAAACCCCGCCCCTATCCTGGGAGGAAGACTACGGCATGGGTTATTTCGGCTAACAATCAGGCATTTATCCCGAACGAGTGTGAAGTAGACATTCGGATTTTGTCGACCTCAAGTGGGACTCCCGCCGGGGTAGCCTTCCAGCAGACGGCTTGCGGAGCCGCTCTGAGGGCTAAAACCTTGGCTACGTTCCGTTTAACCATGGCCTACGCTTGAAGATCCGGGAGTCGCTCTTTTCCGAGGTATTAAAGTGAAGGATCTTGTTTCTGATGACATGATATATTACGAAACCATTAGTATAATTTTCTTATAAATTAAACTGCGCATGAGGAACTACTGAAGAAAACTGTGCATCTAGTTGCGCAAAGTGGGTTTCATTATTTACTTTTTCCTTGTCAGGTTAAATAGTTGGTTTAGATCCATTTTTTCCCCTTTCTCTTAAAGTTCCGTGCCTTTATGGGTTGACTTTATCACTGTCTTGCTCGATAAAATTATGCCCACATTCCGAATGGGTAGAGTGTTTTACTATTCGCTTCTTTTTCTTGCTTGGATAAATATAAATTAAATTGACCATATCGACGGTGCATTTTTCAATTTCTCTCTCCTTTTCCCTGTGTTTCCTCCCCTGACCAAAGAAAACCCCCATATCGTTAAAATTAAAAAAATACACATAATGAATTTTTACGCAACAATCTTATTTTTTATTGTACTATTTAGTACACTTTCCCAGGCGGACACGACTCCGTATGACCCCATCTTCCACGTTTTTGTCCCTCAACACTGGATCAATGACCCCAATGGCCCCTATCGAGACTCTCTTTCAGGTAAGATCCACTTGTACATGCAGTACAACCCCTTCGGAGCCGTTTGGGGGAATATGTCGTGGTATCATATCACCTCGGAGGACTACGTCAAGTGGGAACGCCAAGAAGATCCATCCATGACCAACGACCGCTGGTACGACTTGCGTGGCGCGTATTCGGGCACTATGATCAACAACCTTTTGGGGGACCCCGTTGTTTTGTATGCTTGCGTTGAGAACGCGGGCGCGGAGCTAAGCAATCCGGACATCCAACGTCTGTGTATCGCGAATCCGCCCAAAGCGGATCTGAAGGGCAAACGCGCGCTGGGCATCTTCGAGAAAAGTTCGATCAACCCCGTTTTGGGCGAGGACGACGTTCCCGGGCTGGTCGACCTCAACAACTTTCGTGACCCGACAGAGTTGTGGGCCGATCCGGCGCATCCCAATGAATGGCTCCTTGCCGCCATCGCACGTGTTAAAGATGATGAAGGCGACAACGCCCATGTGGTCCTTTTCCGCACCGCCGACCCCACGTTCCAGAGCGGCTACCAGTTTTCCCACACCCTCTACACGTACCACCTTGAACCAATGTTGGAGTGCCCTGACTTCTTTACGGTGGACAACACCAATGGGTACTTTCTGAAGCTTACAACAATGAAAGCGCGCCGTGAATTTGTCGTCTACGGCAACTACCAGATGGACAAAAAGAAGGACCAGTACGTTTACGTTGAGGACCCGGACCGCACCCCCACGTTCATGGACTTTGGGCCTTACTATGCGTCCAAGTCCTTCTACGACCCAATCCTGAAGCGGCGCATGATCTGGGGCTGGGTTCCCGAGGAGATCGAGGAAGAGCTGTATCTGAAGGTTCAGGGATGGGCCGGGGTGCAAGTTCTACGTGGAATCGCCTACGATGCGAAGCAGAAGCGTCTTAAGTATCCGCCAATTCCCGAATTAAAAGCTCTGCGAAAGGCGCGCCTCCTCAACAAAACTCTGACGCTTTCGTCTGGCGGTGCCAGTACCGTTTTGAGTCCTTTTGAAGCAGGGACGATGCATCAGGAAATTATTGCAAAGTTCACTTTACCCGCAAACCTTTTTGACGAAACGAAGGTGTACACCAAGGAAAACGCCCCTGAGGTGGGTTTGCGCATCCGCACTAACGCCGATGGATCGGAATACACAACGGTGGCGCTGAAGATGCCGGCGGCGACGCCTGAATCAAATGTTTGCCATGAATGCACCTACCCGAAATCGCTGAACACCCTTTTTAAGACCTATCTCATCAAGAAGGACAAGGAAGCCGAGATGAACTGCAGTAAGGAATGCGCAAAGGAGCGCAACTGTGAGTCGTGGATTCTACAGGAAACGGAAAATAAGGATATCATGCAGTGCACACTGCTCTGGGACTATAGTTTGAAGGACCCCACCTCGAATAAAGTTTCGTCCAGCGGTGTTGTTAATGAGCCGATTCTTTACCTGGAGCGTAATAAGTCGGGTACCATTGGCTACAACTTGCCACTCCACGGTCGTGCGCCGTTAGCATCTAACACCGAGTTGGAGCTGCATGTTTTTGTTGATGGCAACATCATTGAGATCTTTAAAGACGACGGTTTGCAGATCATCAGCGGCCGTGTGTACATCTCCGATGGAGTCGCTCACAGCGGTGTTGGATTCTACACCCGCAACACAGGTGATGCTCTTGTCAGTGCCAACATTCAGGCGTTTTCAATGGGCAGCATGTGGAAGTAGCCTCAGCCACCCAGGGACTCACATAAACCCACCAACACCCTATAACTGCACCTCATATTTTACCGTTGTTAGGGGTAGATCAGAATAGTTAAGGAAAAGAAAAGCAAGTGGCTTTAGGTATGCCATTTTTTTATAAAATTTAAACTGAGGAAGTTTAAACTTTTTTTTCTCCTTTTACACCACTCAAGTATGCGAATATAACTTAAGCTATTTTACCTTATTTTGCTTTTTTTTTCTAATTGTATAAGCAATGCAAAGAATTTTTTTTTTTAATATTACGATATGCTTTTTTTAGGCAATAAACAATGCAAATATAATATACTTTTTTCAATATTACGATATTGCTTTTTTTAGGCAATAAACGGTGAAAAAATTCAGTATTTGAGTACAATATTTATACAAACAACTCAAGAAAAAAAATTGGGTCCATATGGACCAATTTGAAAATTATACTGGGCTATAAAGATCTTTAACCTTTTTTATTATTAATATACAGATGGGAAAACATAAATGTT